CCTCCCTACCTCCCCACCTACACTCACCTTTACTGGCTCCATCCCCGCCTCTTCGACCTGTCTGTTTCCTCTTCACCTATCTTCTCCTCTATCCATCTTCTATCCGCCTCCCCCCTCTCCCTATTAATTTCAGAACCCCCTTCCCCTCCCCCATTTCTGATGAAGGGTCTAGGCCCGAAACGTCAGCCTTCCTGCTCCTATGATGCTGCTTGGTCTGCTGTGTTCATCCAGCCCTGCACCTTGTTGTCTCAGATTTTCCAGCATCTGCAGTTCCTACTATCTCTATTTCTGCCATATTGTGTCTGCTGTGACACTAGTGGAGCGGTTACAGTTTGGAGGAAGTTAAGAAGCAACAAATCAAGGAGGGGAAAGACAGGCACTGCTGTAACAGTTTTCACAATTTACACATGTTCTTTTCGGTTTAATGAATACTTTTTAAAAGTATTCTCACTGTTGCAATATAGGAAATGCAGTAGTCAACGTGTGCGCAGCAAACTCCCACAAAGAGTGACATATTATTTACCAGACAATCTATCTTAGTTATATTGGTTAGAGAATAATATTGGCCCCATGACACTAAAGAAAACTCCCCTGCTCATCAAAATATGTTCACCTAAAAGGACACCTTAGTTAACATCCCATTGATCAGTACTTCAACCACACAAACTCTGCCTCTCAGCTGAGGTTGTTAGCTTCTGAGTCACAATTTAAATCCAAGGAGCAAGGAACGAAAATAACAAAGAAAAAGAAAAGATCAAGGAATCAAGGAAGACCCTAGAGGGTGGGCAAAGTGGATTTGAGTTAAGATCTTCAGGGCAGTAGAGTAACATTTTATGACAATAAACTAATGATATTGTTGGAACAAAAAAAACACATTCAGTATTGCCTGTTTCACACTCTTCTCATAACCAATATTCTCCCCTCTGAGGCAGAATCAAGTATATTTTGATTCATTTGTCTCCATTACATTTAGGACACTTGAGAACTTCTGGCTGTTGCTTTCATTGATGCTTGTTTTCAAAAGCCGAACAATATAGTCCTTTTGTTTAGAAACTCAGGTTTGTTGTTGAACAATCCCTTTTATAAATGGCATTATTTTGTAATCTGTTTTAAAGCTGAATAATTGTTTTTCAGCACGGAATAATTAGGGGGAGAAAGGAGGAAAAGTGAGTGAAAAATGAGAGGATAAGGAAGAAAAGTGAAAATGGTAAATTGAAGTGTGTGGAGAAGTTAAATTTGAGCGTGAACTAAAGGATATGAGTAATAATGGAAGTGAATGGCATAGTGTTCAAGGAACACACAGAAATAGGAAATAAACAGAAGGAAATGCCTGCTTCCAAAACTGTTATCGATCTAAAGTTCTTCCCTAATAGCTAACACAAGTTAAAGGAAAAACAAGTTTGTGACAGGATGGAAATCTGTGAGTTTAGTGCTTTTTGCTAACTAAGCAGAAGGCTATGAGGAATTTTACCCACAATTACTCCCTGTAAAATGTTGTTGACATCCGTATTTCAGTGGTTGACAGTCCCCAATGGTCAAACATTAATCTCCTATTCACCACTATCAATCAAACATTGGAAATTCCTCTGTCATTTTCTTCAGCCCCCGTCACAAATTCTGTCACTTTTCACTGATCCAATATTCCTGGCCGTGATCTTGGGTTGAACCCTGATATTCACATCCTCTGCATCTTGCTTGATGCTGATGTACCTCCATTCCATTGCTCGTCTTCATCTCAGTCTGTGTTCAAACTACTGGACCCTCTTCCCCCAAGAATGCTTCTGTGTCTTCCAGAATTAACTATTTTAATATCTCTCCTGGCCAGCTTCCCATCTTCCAGCATCTGTAAACTTTAGCTCATCCAGACATAGCTACCTGTTTTCTAGCTCATACCCTGTCCTACTCGCCTGTCATAGCCTCTGCTCTGGTCCATGTTGGCTCCCAGTTTGACAACTTTTTGAATTTAAAATTCTTGTACTTGTTTTTCCCTCCATTGCCTGTCCTCTCCCAATCTCTGAAACATATTGGGGAAGTGATGGCCTCGTGGTATTATCGCTGGACTGTTAATCCAGAGACCCAGATAACATTCTGGGGACCTGGGTTCGAATCCTGCCATGGCAGATGGTGGAATTTGAATTCAATAAATATCTGGGATTAAGAGTCTAAAGATGACCATGAATCCATTGTCGATTGTTGGGAAAAAACCCATCTGATTCACTAATGTCCTTTAGGGAAGGAAACTGCCATCCTTACCTGGCCTGGCCTACATGTGACTCCAGACCCACAGCAATGTGTTTGACTCTCAACTGCCCTCTGAGCAATTAGGGATGGGCAATAAATGCTGCCTAGCCAACGATGGCCTCATCACGTGAATGAATAAAAAAAAAATTCTAGCCCTATAATCAACATTCCTTCTAAGCTGTGTGGCCATGCCCCAAGGGTCTGTGAATGTCAATCATTATTCAGCATATTTGCTTCAGTTTCTCCAGTCCCTACATGGATCTCCAAGATTGGTAGGGTGGAGGAAATGTAGCCTATAACCCTCAGCTCTGAAACAAAAATAGAAATAACTGGCAAAACTCAGCAGGTCTGATGGCATCTGTGGGAAGAAAGCAGAGTTAATGATTCATCTGATGAAGACTCACTAGTTATTTCTGTTTTTGTTTCAGATCTCCAGCTTATGCAGTTGTTTGTTTTATTAACCCTTTAAGATCTATGTGTTCCTCCAATTCTGCCCTCTTGAGCAATTTTGATGTTGATTGTTTCCCCATTGGCAACTTTTAGATGCCTGGCCCTAATTCCCTCCAAAATCCTCTTCATCTCTCTCCTCAAATATGTTCCTTAAAACACGAGTCTTTGACCAAGTTTTTGATCGCACACCCTCGTATCTCCTTTTACAATTCAATTTTATATATTGTTTGATGATGCTCCTGGGGCAAGATAATTATGATCTAAAATTGATGAATTATATGGTAATTCCAGAATACTATAAAATGCCAAAATGAAAGATAAGGTGGTTATATCTTGAACTACTATTGAGTTTCACTGGAACACTGTCAGAGTCAGTAACAGTGTGAGTATGATGAGAATTAAATGGCAATTGACCGGAAGCTTCAGATCAATTGCAATTTGAACAAATTGTTTCAACAAATTGATCACCCAGTCTGCATTTGGTCTCCCCAGTTTATTGGAAACCTCATTGTCAGCAGTGAACACATGGGTCAGAGGGTGTTTACCCAAAATTTATTTTGTCTTCAAATGTGATGATTGGCCTGATGAATATCTCCCAGTACCTTGGCCCATGATTAAATGCCCTGTCAGATTCCCTGTCAAGTCTTGTAGAGGAAGAATTGGAAATTGTTGAGACACTGAAATGCTAGCCTTTGCCTTTAAAAATAACCAATCAAGAATCAAAAGAAGAAAGGGACAATACCTGGAAAAGTGACCAGAAAACTGTTATATTGTCATGAAAACCCAGCTGGATCAGGAATGTCCCTTAGGGCCATACCCAAACCATAACATGTGACTGACTCTGAATGATTTCTGAAATGATTCAGTGTTCAATAATAACACAATAATAAACATCTTTGTCCCAAAAAAAATGGTCTACTAGGAATTGGCAACTAGGGATAGACAACAATCGGAGAAAAATGAATAGAGGTAGAAAATATTAAAGTTGTACTATATTTATGATAAACAAAGTCACTACTGAATTAAGCCTAATCATGTGGAGCTAAGGCTGATGAATGAAGTTCAGGTACAGATCAATGATGATTTAATTAAATGGTGAAACAGGCTCAAGAGGCCATGTTGCCTCCATCTGTTCCTAAATACCACTAACATTTTTGGTAGGAATCAACTGGATTGAGAGCCATAAAGCAAATTACATCACATAGTGTACGCATTGTCATGAGGCAATGTGATCTAAACATTATATTTTTAATTAATTACATAGACCCATCTATGTTATCTTAATTTCTTTTGTGTAATAGCTTCTGTTTTATTGTTAAACTCATATCTGTATTGTATGCTTATGTTTCAGCTAAAGAACCCCTCAGTCAAACCAAAAAAATTTGGAACATATCTAGAATGTTAAAACAAACTACACTCTGCAAAGGAAAAGGCATTTAGATGCAACATTGACAATGTTGTACCTGTAAAGAGCAGGTAGCTTGGATGGAGTCATACAATCTAGAGAACTTTCACGGCAAGATCTCATGACCCAGTTTGCGACAAGAAAATTTGACCTGGATGAAGGCAACATCCCCCATTGCTCTCATTCTTTCTTTGCAATTCTCCTCTACAAATTGTATGAACTTAAAACCCACCGAAAGTCATTTTTATCACTTGGGAAGAGGTCTTGAGAGAATTTCCTTGAAACTTATTCCACGTGAAACAAAGAAAATTCAGCCAATTACAACCATTCTAGAAACGCAACTACTTGGGTGGAGGGCGGGGTAGTGTGTGTGAGAGAGAGACAATAAGTAATGGATATATTATTTAAGAGTTAGTTGGGTCTGAATTGGCTGTTTAGAGGTAGTAATTAGTGGGGTGAAAGTTTATAAAGTATGGCTAACTGAAATAAAGCTCTCACATGAAAATGTGAACTTGAGTTCTGTTTATATATGGTAATAATATTTTAAAATTACACACCTCATACCATACCTGGCTCATTGTTAATAACACTGAACCTGACAAAGTGTAAAACCTATAGACATTTCTAACTTGTGGTGCAATGGTAGTGTCCCTACTTCTGGGTCAGTTGGTCCTGGTTCAAGTCTCATCTACCCACACATGTATCAGAACAGGCTGATTAGATTAAATTTAGATTAGATTAGATTTTATTGTCACGTACCCAAATACAGGGGTACAGTGAAAAATGGCAACTATATACACTTTTCACTGTACCCCTGTACTCCTGTATTCGGGTACATGTGACAATAAAATCTAATCTAATCTAAGACTAATCTAATCAGCCTGTTCTGACACATGTGTCGGGTAGGTGAGACTTGAAGCAGGACCAAATGACAGAGGTAGGGATGCCACCATTGCACCACAAGACTTCCAAGCCTGAAGCCTATATAATTGACCATATCACCAAGCTGTTTAAGTTTTAAAACTTGTGACCTATGGAAGAGTGGAGTTAGAAAGGCAATAGTGCACCTCTTTAATCTCTGTCATAACAACATGCATCATCAGTTACAGGATTAATTTATAGCAAACATGTCATCACACATCACCATCATGCAAGCAGATTCAGTCATTTCATGACTGCTGAGATGTGCTGAGTCACAGAGCAACATGGGAAATGACTGGCATTGCAAAGTTAAATCACCTCTGAGATTTCTGATGAAGGAAGGAAAAGAACTCCCGCCTTGTGCAAAATCTTCACATCCTGCCAATAATGAGATTTTTCCTGTTTTTCATGACCTTTTTATAATTGTTTCTTTCAATTCACATAACTACATGCAGTAGTATCACCACAAAGTTGGCTAGTTCAGAATTGTTTTCCTTCTATTAACTTGTGAGATGTTGCTCATTCCTAATAATCTGGGGATCAGTTGTATTCTGTCATAAAATGAGTCCTGGAGAGTCGTTCACTGTGATGCTAGTTTTAATTCATTCCTGGAATACAGGTGACATCAGAAAGTCAGGATCTACTCCCAACTCATAGTGTCTTGGGCACATTTAGAGTCAACTGTGCTGGTGTGGTTCTACAGTCACATTTAGGCACTGACTGGGTAAATTCCTGAAGGACGTTAATGAAACATTTATGTGTCCAACACCCCAGGGATTTCATGGCCACTTTTATCTGATGCCAACCCTCAAATCACAAGATCTATTTAATTCAGTTTCACCACTTGCTGTGGAGCAATTTGACTTCCAGTACATTGAAAAGTTTACATTTGTGCATATTTTCTGACCATTATATCTTGCATGTTTTGTTAAGTTTCAGTCACACACTTTAGTGTTGTCGTGGTTGTGGCTCATCAGCACCACTATAAGCTCAGCCGGTCAAGTTTTTGAAGGCCATAGCTGCCAGGTTACAGGCTTACAGCTGGAGGAGAAGGAACCATCAGGTTGGAAAAACCTGCTTGACTTTGCCCTCACTAATATACTTGTTGCAGGCTCACTTGTCCATGATAGTATTGGTAGTCATAACCACTACATAGTTCTGATGGAGACAATATCCTATCTTTACCCTGGGATTAATGCCAGGAAATGCACCAGGCGAACCTAAAATTAAAGTGCCAGCTGGATGAAGCTACAACACAGGATTAATTACAAGATTTGGAGGAGGAGGTTACAAAAATATACCCATCCTCAATGATGAGGGAGCACAGTACATAAGTGCAAAACACAATGCTGAAGCATTTGCAGCTACCTTCTGCCAGAAATGTCAAGTAAACGATCCATCTCATGCGTCCTAGATGACAGTCTTCAGCCAATTTGATTCACTCCGTTTGATAGAAAAGAAAAGCCTTGAAACACTGGATATAGCAAAGGCTACAGGCCCTTAGAACCTCCAGGAAGTATAGGGAAGATTTGTGGTCTAGAACTAGCTGCATCCCCTAGCCAAGCGATTTGAGTGGATTTGCAACCCTGCCATCTACTCGCCAATGTAAAAAATTACCCAAGTATGACCTGTCAACAAAATGCAGGACAAATCTAATCTATCAAATACTTTCCTTTCGATTTATTCTCAATTATTATAAAAGTGAAGGAAATTATCATCACCAGTGCTATTGAACTGAATGTACTGTGATGCAAGTGTATAATTCACATATTTTTAATATTTGTATTTAGCTTTCAATTTCTGAATCTTAAATTAGCGAGATTCACTTGTTTCAATCAGCAGCTTCTGGACTTAGAGGCAAAAAAATTGCAGATGCTGGAGCCCAAGGTAGACAAACAAGAGAGTGGAAGAACACAGCAAGCCAGGCAGCATCTGGAAGAAAGCAGCAGACTGGGTAGAAGAGTCCTGAAGAAGAGTAATACCTGAAATGTTGACTGTTCCTTTCCTCCAGGTGCTGCCTGGCTTGCTGTGTTCTTCCAGCCTCCTGTTTGTCTAACTTCTGAAAGCTTTTTTTAAGCATGGGAGAAACATCATTAGTTTCAGTTTGGAGCAGTTCTATAGAAATCATGGTTAAAGATGAATGTGCAACACAGTATTTCTGAGCAAGGGAGGAGATTGTAAAAATAAATTACCTTAGTGTAAGGAGTTTAGTAGTAGGCCCAGACCAGAGTGTTTGGATAAAACACTGAAGGGATTTTTGAATTTGAGAATGTTTAAGCTTGGGTGAATGGAAGCTCCAGAAAGAAGCTGTCTGATTTTCCAGACTGGGAATAGAAGTCACAATCTAAGTTAGCTATTAGAGGAGGCAATTTATTTATTTGTAAGAATAAAATGCAAAGGCTAGTTTTGGTATCCATAAAGGAGCACTTTGAGATTAATATATTTCCATGTGTTTGTAAGATTTTTAAGTTTGTACTATATGTAAATCTGTTTTATTCTACTTTATCATCAAACCCTTTACTTGATAAACTTCTATTTTATTCTTAAAATCAAATCTGTAAAATTGTGTACTCACGTTTCAGTGAGAGACCAACTTGTTAAAACCAAAAAAAAAGTCTATCAATCAGATTTCAGTCTGGGATCTAACTTTTCCAGTAATAACATCAATTAAGGTCATAACATTACACAGCAGTAATTTCTCACCAATGCTCAGTTTCGATCATTCAGTCATAAACCTCATTACAACGAAGGTGCAAATATGAGCAAAAAAACAAAACTCAGAGAGGTGATGTGAAAGTGACTGTTCATAACACGCAAGTGTGGAATCAAAGAGCATTCACTATATTGAAATCAATGGGAGTTGGGGTAAATTCTCCTCTGGTTGGGAGTCATATCTAGCACAAAGGAAGATCATTGTGATTGTTGGAGGACAATCACTTCAGCCTTGGGACATTGCTACAGGATTTCCTCTAGATCCAATCATGTTCAGCTGCTTCATCAATGATTTTTTAAAAACTTATTGTTTCTTGAGCAGAAATAGATGCAAAACTTCAGTTACAGCAAGAACACTGTTTTATACATTTGTTTAACATAGCTTCCTTGTTTTTCTACTCTATGTCCCTGTTAATAAAGCCCAGAATGCCATATACTTTATTAATTGTCCTCTCAACCTGTCCTACCACCTTCAATGATTTAGCTACACATTCAGCCAACTTCTGCACTCCATTTAGAATTGTGATGTTTAACATTATGGCTGTGTTTACTGTAACCACAACTGCAGGGGGCACAGTAACATGCAGTTACAGCACCTGTCATCCACTACTAGTATTGCCACAGGTAACTGCTGGTTTCAGTAACAGAGATAGCCAAAATTATTACAAATTGAATTTCTTGATTATTAAATAAATAAAACTTATACAGCAGTATTATCAAGAAGGTGCAACATTTAATGATAGAAGAAACACTTGGATCCAGTCACTCCCAGAAGTAATAAGTCCAGTCACTACCTCCACTGTGACCATGATCAGAGTGGGAGCTGGAATGTTAAGTGGAGTGGCTACTGATGTGAGAAATGGAAATGGCAAGAGACTGCCAATTGTAAGTATATTGCAAGGCTTTTGTGCCCCAGCATTGGCTTTGGGCCGATTGGATGTCAACATCTGGTTCCAGGTACACACTGACGAGTAGATTTCCTATCCCAGTGTGGTGGCAGGAGATACATTGCATTTTATATTGCATCCTGTGTTCTTCCTACCAAATCAGTAACTAAACACTTCTCTGCATTAAATTTCAACTGCTACTTGTTCATCCTTTCACCAAGCTGCCTTATGTCCTCCAAGTCCTATGCTATTCTCCTCTTGGTTTGCAATATTTAACAAATTTCATTTCTTCTGCAGATTTTGAAATTTCGCTATATCCACCTCGCTCTGGATTATTAATGTTTATAGGAAGAGAAGATTCATTTACACCTACCCCCGGGGAATTCCATTCTAAAACTTTTCCAGTCTGAAAACTAACTATTCGCCACTACTCTTTGTTTCCTGTCATTCAGGCAATTTCATTTCCATATTGCTGACTCTTTTATTCCTTGAGCTCTGTCTTTGCTCAGAACTCTTCGTGCAGCCTTTTGGTAGTTAATCACTTAAAACGTATTACCTTCATCAACCCACTCTAATGCCTCATCAAAACTTCAAGGAGGTTCATTAAACATCTCTCTAGCTTATATTGACTCTTTGAAAGGGCTGGCCAATTGAGTCCCACACTCCAGCATTCTCTCTGCAATCCTGCAACTGATCCTCTTCAATTTTTTTTTTATTCCTTCATGGCATGTGGATGTCAGTGGCTGGGCCATCATTTATTGTCCATCACTAATTGCCCTTGAAAGAATGGAGCCTTCTCGAACTGCTGCAGTCCATGTACTGTCAGTACACCCACAGTGCTATTAAGACGGATTTTGACCCAGTGAAAATGAATGGTGTGATATAGTTACGAGTCAGTATGGTGTGTTGCTCAGAGGGGAACTTTCAAGTGATGGCATTCCCATTCATCTGCTGCCTCTGTCCTTGTAGATAGTAATGGTTGTGGGTTTATAAGGTGTAGAAGGAAGGTTGGTGCGAGTTGTAGTGCATTTTGCAGATGAACGCACTGTTGACACTGTACATTGGTTTTGAGTGGTGTCAATATTTAAGATGGTGGAATGGGTGACAGTTAAGCAGACTGCTTTGTTCTGGATGGTGCTGGGTATGCTCCTTTAGTGTTGTTCATGCTGCACCCATCTAAATAACCAGAGAGTATGGTTTTGCATAAATATAATATAATGGTACACAATACAGCCACTGTCCATCAATGGTAGGGCATGTGAATGCTGTTTTATTGTGGTATGTTGTCTTTTGAAAGTTAGTATTGAATTTGCTTCCAGCATTCTTCCATTCAGTGTCAGAGATGGGCAATAAATACTGACCTGGACATTGAAGACCATAACAATGATTGTTTTAAAAATCTGGATGATAACGATGCAGTGTTAAAAAAAATCACCCTTCTCATTCTAGCTTCAGCCTATTGAATGCCTTCATGATCTTAAATACCTTGACCTGTTTTATTTCATTCACAGGATGAGGGCATCACTGGCTAGGCCAGCATTTATTGCCCATCCCACAGGGCAATTAAGAGTCAACTACATTGCTATGGAGCTGAAGTCACATGTGGGCCAGACCAGATATGGATGGCAGTTTCCTTCCCTAAAGGACATTAGTGAACCAGATGGATTTTTCCTGACAGTCAGCAATGGTTTCATAGTCATCATACACTCTTAATTCCAGATTTTTATTGAATTCAAATTCCACCATTTGCCATGGCAGGATTCAAGCCCAGGTTCCCGGAATATTACCTGGCTTTCTGGATTAGCAGTCCAGCGATAATACCACTAGGCCATCACTTCCCCTAATCATTCCTAAACCACCTAAACCCATGGGAATTCCAGCCCAGTCAATACAACCTGTTCTCATAATTTTACCTCTTAATATCATCCTGGCGAATCTGATCTGTACCCCTTCCAAGGTTATTGTAGCCTTCTGAGGATTGGTATTATCTTGACCTCTTTACAGTTGGAACATAACTGCTACCTCTTCATATTCTAACTTCTTTAAGAGAAACATTCTGTTCATATTTTTGTTTGATTCCTGTACATGCTCACTGAACTCTCATAGCTCATTGACACATTCTTTCTGAACAGTCAGTTTAATATTCAAACTCTCAGCCAATGCCTGCATTAAGATTTTAAAAAGTCAAAATCTATTTTGAGTGATCTCCAGTTACCATTCTTCTGGAAACAGTAACCATCGTATGATTTGTCAGGATCAACTTTCCAAACCAAAACGCCTGTTCCGTTTTTTCCACATTGCTCCTTTGAACTGATTCTTGGGATAACAACAAAACCGTCGTCCACCCAACCATACCTACAAAGCAGACACAGAAAATAACTCCATAAGACCTTGTAAACTAACTCCTTCCAGAATCAATACCTGTGCAAAAAGGAGCGATCTCTCTGAGAGCTCGAGGAGTCAGGCAGTGACCAGAGACTTGAATCCATAATCTGGGTTGAGACATCCAGTGGTTCTGAGCGAATACGGCACTGGTGTTTGGGAAGTGCTAAAGGCAAGTTGCATTGACAGAGAGGCAGCACTGAAGGAGCACTCAACTGTCCAAGGTACTGAGGAAGCACTATGCCATTGGAAGGTCAGTACATGCTTGAGCACTATGCTGTTGAAGTGTCAGTACTGAGGGAGGGCTGTACCGTCAAAGGACATCTTTCACATGAGGTGTTAAACCAAGTCTCATGCTGCCCTTTCAGTCACCTGATTACCTGGTCATTATCACATTGCTGTTTAGGAGAGCTTGCTGAGCCATTGTTTCTACATTACAAGAGTGGCTATATTTCAAAAAAAACTTTCATTGGCTGTGAAACATTTTGGGAAGTCCTGGAAAGTGCTGAGCTCTTTTCTCCCTCTTATCTCTTTGAGAAGAGGGTAGATAAGCTTTGTGGAGTTTCTGTCAATATCACTTTGTATAACTGGTGAACTGGAGACGTGTTTGTATTCTACTCACATAGGTTAGATTTATTTTCTACTTTCCACACCAACCATTTTACAACTCCTGCACTTGTTAACAATTAATGCTAAGTGTCAGGGAGGGGATCAATCTATGCTTGGGGCTTGTGACCAACAAGAATTGAGTCAAGACCACCAAACCATTTAGTTTAAGATCCGTAAAGGTAGATTTTCTTAATCTTGTTCCATAATCCTGAACCTGCCATTATTTTGGTCCACTTTCCTTGGGCTGCCATTTATATTTGAGGTATGGTATTCGATGGTATTTCCACTACCAATTGGGGCATCGAAAGGGATGGGTTTTAATGTATCATCTCACGGGATCGTCTTTATCGAAAGACTCTGCCATTGTATTGAATCATTTTTACTAAAAGACAAGTGGGAAATATTCAGTTTTTGTACAGTACCATTTTTATATTTCGGACAACGGGCAGTAGGGTAAACCTATGCTTGTGATAGATTCTTGAGTCAGATAAGATGATGATTTTACAATAAAATGTCACTTACCTGCACATTTCGAAGCCTAGCTGATGTGCACGTTCGACCTGTGCCTTTGTTGCCAACAGTGAGTCAAGTTGTTTACAGGCATTATGTGCTTGAACCAGTGACAGATTGTAAACACCTTTCAAGCTAATATGGAAAATCCCCATGATGTGACATTGGCTGATTTCAACATCTGCAACAGAAAGATCATTATGAGACATGAATTGAGAATAGGATTCAAACCCATGGAACAAAAGTCTCCTTTGTCATGATAAAACGGGTTAACTTGGACTGAAATAATATTGAAAAGTACAGAGAGATTGTAGAATTCTGGAACTAATTATAATTTCAAAACACAACATAGCAAAGTAGAAGCTTTAAGATCGGATTATTTATCAAGCCCAACCATCAACTTGCATTTATATATCATCTTAGATACAGGAAAATATACCAGGATGCTTCATAGCAGCATTATCAAACAAAAATGGATAGGGAGCTAAAGAAGAACATGAGTACAGGTGGCCTGAAAGTTTAGTAGGTTGTAATGGGTGACCTAAAGGGGTTGGTGGAAGTGGCAGGGGAGGAGTGTTCAGGATCCCGGCCTGTCTGTTCCCTCACGTATAACCAACAGCATCCTTTTTTAAAATTTATTTTTCTTCATTTAACTTTTGAATCAAATTCATCTCTTTTTCCTGTGATTGCAATGGTGGGGAGAGGTTGGATGGCGGATGTGGTCCATTCCTCATGGTGACAGCTTTTGCGGCTTGCACAACCATTCTGGCGTCGACAAATTGGGGTCTGTTCTTTTCCTTTGGTGCTTCAGCAGCGTCTGAGCGGTGATGGAGTGAATGATCTCTCGAGTGAATGATCTGTTGGTCCATGGGAATTAATTTAGATGGTCAATCAGTTCTCAAAAGTTGAGATGGGCTCCAGTCCTCGAGAGCTGGGACATTCTCTTGGCTATGGTGCAGCTGGAGTATCGGCAGCAATGAGTTGGCTTTGGCAGTGGCGATGTTCTGGGTCCAGTCAGTGGCAGTGGGGGCTGCTTTAGTGTGTTTCCTCTTTGGTGTTGCTGCCTCAGGCACAGCTTTGGCAGTTGCAGAGAGTGGCAGGGTCCTGTAACCACTTAGGCAATCAAGAAGCCGTGTATAGAACAAAAAATGAAATTTGTCCTAACTTTGTATGATTTATTTCTTTGTATAATTTTTGTACGTAAAATTGCCTCGGCTTATGGCAACTTATACATATTTTACTATATTTTCATGAATACATGTAACAATAAATTACTATTATTATTAACATAGAACTGTACACAGCAGGAATGGACCCTTCGGCCCATGATGTTCTGCTGAACATGCTGCCAAATTAAACTAATCCCTTCTGCCTGCCATTGGTCCATATCTGTCCATTCCTTGCATATTCATGTGCTTATCTAAAAGTCTCTTAAACGCCCCTATTGTATCTGCTCCCACCACCACTGCTGGCAGCACATTCCACACTCCCACCGCTCTTTGTGTAAAAAAACTTACCCTCACATCTCCTTTGAACTTTCCCCCTCTCACATTAAATGCATGCCCCCTAGTTTTAGACATTTCAACTCTGGGAAAAAGATTCTGATTGTGAACCCTATCTGTGCATCACATCCTTTAATAGACTTCTGTCAAGTCTCCCCTTAGCCCCCGTCACTCCAGAGAAAACAACTCAAGTTTTACTAGTTTCTCCTTATAGTTCATACCCTGCAATCCAAGCAGCATCCTGGTAAACATCTTCTGTACCCTCTCCAAAGCCTCCGTATCCTTCCTGTAATGTGGTGACTAGAATTGAATGCAGTACTCTAAGTGTGGCCTAACCAAAGTCTAATAACGTTGGAACATGACATCCTGACTCTTGTACTCAATTCCTTGACCAATAAGGGCAAGGATGCCATACACCTTCTTCACTACCCCTTCTACTTGCGTGGCCACTTCAGAGAGCTATGGGCCTGAACCCCAAGATCCCTCTGTAGATCAATGCTGTTCAGGGTCCTGCCATTAACTGTATACTTTTCCCTAACCTTTGATCTCCCAAAGTGCAGCACCTCACACTTAGCTAGACTAAACTCCATTTGCCATTTCTCTGTCCATATCTGCAACTGTATCCTTTGACAACCTTCTACACTATCCACAACTCCACCGGTCTTTGTATCGTCTACAAAATTACTAACCCACCCTCTATACTTTCATTCAAGTCATTAAATATATATCACAAACAGCAAAGGTCCCAGTACAGATCCCTGCGGAACACCACTAGTCACAGACCTCCAGCCTGAAAAATGACCTTCCACCACTACCCTCTGTCTTCTATGGGCAAGCCAATTCTGAATCCACAAGGCCAAATCACCATGGATCCCTTGCATCTTAATCTTCTGGATGAGCCTAATTAGTATTATTATTGAAGAGCTTGTCAGAGGGAATTCTGAGTCTAGCTGAAATCATAGCCACTTGTTGTGGATCAATTAAAATTAAGTATGGACTGCAGGCCCAATTATATTTTAAAGTTCATGACTTATTAACGAATTTTGGGAGATGTGACCTTTGACATGATGTGGTTTTGAAGCTTGAAATTTCATTAATTGATCACAGAGGGAAAACTAAATATGATCTCTTTCTCCTTTCAATCTTTTGATGAGCCCGAGGTTTGGCCACAGCTGGAGTGTTGCACTCAGTTCTGAGCAACACACTTTAGGAAGGCTGTCAAGGCCTTAGAAACATAGAAAACAGGAGCAGAAATAGACCAAACTGGTTGTAGAAACTGTTACAGATTGTAAACACATTGCAAGCTAACATGGAAAAATCCCTATGATTTGACATTTGCTGACTTCAACATGTGCAACAGAAAGATCATCATGAGATATGAATCATGAATAGGATTCAAACCCATGGAACAAAAGTCTCCTGTCAGTTGGCCTTTTGAGCTAACAGGATCATAGTTGATCTTCTACCTTAGTGCCATATTCCCATTCTCTCATTAAACCTCTTGACATCTTTAGCTTCTAGAAATCTATCTAGTTCAATCTTAGATATATTCAGTGGCTTGGCATCTACAACATTCTGTGATAAAGAATTCCACAGATCCATCAAACTCTGAGTGAAGAAATTTCTCCTCATTTCAGATCAAAATAGCCTGCCATGTAACCAGACACAGTATCCAGATACCTTATTTTGGACTCCCCGACCTTCCATCATTGTCCCTGCATCCAGTCTGTCCAGCCCTGTCAGAATTTTATATTTCAATGTGAGCCCTTCTCATTCCTCTAAACTCCAGTGAATACGGACACAGTTGACCCAATCCCTCCTCATACAACAAACCTGCCATCCAAGAATTAGTGTGGTGAATCTTCACTGCACTCCTGGTGTGGATAGTATATCCTTTCTAAAGTAAGGAGACTAAAACTGCTCACAATACTCCAGGTGGTCTCACCAAGATCCTGCATAGCGGCAGTAAAACTCCCTTACTCCTGTGCTCAAACCCTCTTGTAATGAAGACCAACATACCATCTGCCTTCCTAACTGCTTTCTGCACCTGTGTGCTTGTTGTTACTGACCAGTGTCACAAAGATATCCTGGCTCCTTAGTACATCAACCTTTCCCAATCTATTGCCATTTATATAATACTCTGCCATTCTGATTTCTGTACTTAGGTGGACAACTTCACATTTATCCATGTGCATCTGCTATGTATTTGCCCACTCACTCAAATTTTCTAAGTTGTTCTTGAATTCTCTTTATATCCTCCTCACCACTCACGTCCCCACCTCGTTTTGTATCGACAGGAAACTTAGAAATATTAAATGCGATTCTCTCATCTAAATTGTTGACTAATATTTTTTATAGCCAGTTCCAAGACCTAATCCCTGAGGTTCCCCATTTGACATTGCCTTCTACTTCAAAAACAAACATTTATTCCTACTCACTGTTTCTATCTGCTAACCAATATTCTATTGATGCCAATACATTACAACCAATCCCATGTACTTTAATTTTGCATGATGACCTCTTATTTGGGACAGTGTCATAAACTTCCAGTTGAAAATGGTACTCATGCCTGGTCCATCCCAGAAACAGTTCAGAGGCTGCCAGGTCTGGAGTCTAGCTTGGCAAAAGACCAGTCATGTGGCTCCAGCACCTGGTTCAATATGTGAGAAAAAAACAGAATAAAAACTTCAATCCTCACACTTCCACTGTCTCATCCATACCAACGCATGCCACTTCATGACTGACACCCACACCCCAATGCCGACTCCTATTTCCAAAGAATTTCCTCTATATATTAAATATGCTATCCCTTACTTTGAGATTTTTGTCCACTGGTTTCCTCTTGATAGGCCTTTTGACAGTACCAATGAGCTTGACAGTTCCAATAAGTTTATCCATTTTATATGTATAGTCATGTCCATCCATAAAAGCCCAAATGGCACTTAACCTCTCTCAAAGGGTACCCAAAGGGCACTAGATCTCTTTCAATGGGCATTCAACAAAGGGTTACTTACCTCTCCAATGAAGACCCCTATTTATCCAAAGAACTTTGGCAAGTTTAACACAAACGCATAAGTAATGCTTTGGATATCCCATTTGCAAAAATAAGACCTGACTTAGGCAGCTGCATTTTATAATGTGCAGTTGCCTATGTCTGACTTAAGATAAAGGCCAACATTCATTTTTATGACTAGCTCTGAACTGTTTCTGCGCATGGACACACGAATTTCCTCCTCAACAGTCCCTGAAAATAAAGTAAAAATTGTAACTTTGCAAAATTATTCAACAGAACATCAATTACATGATTTCAAACATTGAATACAGATTGGTTTAAACATTTTATAATAGGATGTAAGGCACTGTGAATGTAACTGCCACTATACCTTTTAATGTTACCACTTAAAAAATATTCTGATAATCTGACTTCTGCATTAAAATGAGGCTATTACCTGCCTTGGGGCAAGAGCCCATGTTGGCTCAGTATGCCGTTGCAAAGATGACATGGGGCATCGAGTGGATATAGATGTACTATGCATATTGCTGGCCTAATTCCCCTCCCCCCCAGCACTCTGTACCTTCTGTCTCAGGTGTTAAATTTTCAGATATCTGAAATAACTCCACCAGGCTGATATCCCGTCACAAAGTCACCCTTTATTTACATGTGCACAGTACATGATGC